TGTCTCCTGTGGTGTGTGTGTATGTGTGTGTGTGTGCGTGTGTGTGTCTCCTGTGATGTGTGTGTGTGTCTCCTGTGGGGTGTGTGTATGTGTGTGTGTGCGTGTGTGTGTGTATGTGTCTCCCATGGGGTGGGTGTGTGTCTCCTGTGGTGTGTATCTCCCATGGAGGGTGTGTGTGCATGTCTCCTGTGTATATGTGTGTGTGTCTCCTGTAGGGTTTGTGTGCATATGTGAATGTCTCTTGTTTCAGTAACCATGTGATACGTCTCCTCTGAATGCCTGAGGACAGGGCCAGGCCTCTGGATCTTCTCTCACAACGTCCCCAGCCCCTGGGGGTGCTCATTCATTCATTGGTTTGTTCAATCAAAAAAATAAAACAGTGAGGGAACCTGCCTGTTTCTGGGTGCGTGGGTGCAAGCACATGTGGACAGGGGTCTCACACCCTGCTGGAGAGGCTCGGTTTCACTCTTGACAGGAGATTCAGAGTAGAGATGAGGCCTCAGAGAACATGTGCTCCAACTTCTCACAGCACAGGTTGAGGGGGGCAAGCTCCCGAGACAGGGATCCTGATCCAGGAGAACAGTCTGCCCAGGGTCCCTGGTCCCTAGGGCAGATTCCCCAACACCACCCCGTGGTGCAGGCCACCGTCCTGCTGCGGACGGGCACCCCAGAGAGCCCCGAGGCGGTGCTCCATGCAGGCTCCACAGAGGCGCACACGGGTGACATCAAAAGACCCTGAAGCCATCTTCCTCTCGGCCTGCTACCCAGCAGTGATGGAGGTAGCACAGGTATTCAGAGTTTACTGTTACCAAGCAAGTTCCACTTTGCTTTTTCAAAGTGGAATCTTTACATTATCTGCATGAGAGGTGCGAAGGTCACTTCTTAAACATACCCATTTCTCATCTCCACCCCAGACTCCGGAGTCAGAGCTGCAGTGCCCTGGGTACCAGACTGGTGCCTAGAAGTCGCTAGAACATGAGCGGCGCACACACTGTGTGGCTAAGTCTGTGCACGCTCTGTGCTCTGTGTACATGCACACTGTGCACAGGACAGTTTGCAAAACCTGTTCTAGTGTGCATGCCAACTGTGTGTCCATCAGACGTGCACAAGCAAGCTGTCTGCACCCCTGTGGCCCCCTTGCTGCTGGGCCGGGGGAATAGGCCACTTTCTCTTTTGTAGCCCCTGCTCACAAACGCCCAGGCTTTCTCTACAAACCCTTTGCCAGATGCACTTAATCACTTCCAGGTGCATTTCTGAAAAGCAACGTGAGCCTCGCCCGGTGCCTACGGACCTCACCTCTGTTCACTCTCATTCTCTGGGTCCTCTCCCACGTTTGCACTGACTGACCAGTGGGCCAGGATCATGCATCATTTTTAGTCTGGCTCTCTTACTACAAGTTCCACTGCTTCTCCCATGCCTCCCCCCTTCCCCCCCCCCACACACACTTAAGGGACTGCTTCTGCTCCGCTGGCACCAGCCTTCCAGGTAGCCCAGGAGCGCCCTGTCCATATAGCACCTGTGCCTCCGGTGAGCTGCCCAAATAGCAGTGGCTTAAGAGAGTCTGAACCGAATCCAGGAATCGACTCCAAGATGTGGGAAACAGGGCCTGGAGCTATTATATCTTTACCTTGAAGGGGGTCGTCTTCCTTTAGACCCAGCCACTACCATGACCTTTACATTCTGAGTGATAGATGTCACATCTGGACCCCTTTCCAGACAGAAAGGCTCTCTCTCCAGTGTCCAGGGATGACCGACTTCCTGCTGCCAGCTGGTGTGAGCGAGGAGAATTAGCCCCATTTGGGGAAGGCAAACCCGCACCTGGAGACGATGAGAGGTCCCGACCCTGGGCTGCTGGTGCTCTCGCCTGCCGTGTCCTGGTGTACCCCTCCCTCATCACAGGTCTTCCCCCCAAATGCCCTGCACCTGGAGAAGGGGAGACTAGACACAGTATAACGTCTTCAGAATACTCCATTCACCAATGATTTGCTGTTGCTTTTTAGATCAGTCTGCGTTAGAATAGACTAGAGAAAAGGGTGGGGGATCCTTGAGTTTCCTTGGGGAAATAATTGTGGCTATTGACAGGGTGCTATTGTGAGGACGTGAACAGACACTGTCGCAGTCCTTCCCGAGAGCCTTTCAGTTCCCAAGTCTGGGAAGGACCCTGGGCTGCTAGCGCATTCTTGGACCGTATCTAAATCCCCGGTAGCTTACCTCGGTCTTTTCCTCTCTCACATGGAGGTTAGGTCCAAGTGGTACATTATGTTCTCTTTTCCGTGGTAGAGAGAACAATAGAAGTTGGGTGTTGAATTTAAATAAATATTTAATTCATGAAAACGATCTTATATGTTTTAAAACACTCCTTAAAGCTATTTTTATTCTCTAGAAAGCGCTTATTATAGGTAAATTACACATTTTACTACTGGAGCATTCGGGTTGCCATTAGTACAAATTTAAGGCGCTACAAAGACCAGGAGATAATGTTAATTTCAAATACAGAAACTAAATATATTTTGTGCCTTTTTATTACTCATTTTCTTTTAAGTTTTATTGACTGCTTTTTATCTTAACTATATGTCTTTACATCCTGCTATCAAGATGCACTGTAATGGTATTAATATTTTATAGAATCGGTATTTATAGTTCTTTATTTAGAAACAATGCAGTGGGTCTGCAGCTCTCTGAGCCCGTCTGGAATGGTGCCCTCCAAATAATGATAAATTACTTGTGCAGTATGCCATTTGCTAATTATATCCATGATTTACTGCAGAGCAAGACTTAAATCATTCATTTCAGTCTTGCGTAACAGTGCCATAAAATTTTTAGGTTTAAAAATGGTTTCCATGTGTATAATTTAAACAAATTTTAGAGCCATTGTATACACAAAATATTGCAACCACCCATTTGTTACATACTTTGTCTTTTTAAACTTCTACTTTTAACGATCACTGTGGTTGAAATTATTATGCTTAATTTTCATAATCATAGCTTTTAAATCTACAGCCGTTTTCACATGTTAGATAAAGAAAAAGATAGCTAATTGTGTGTAGATAGTATGTCATTCCTGAATAGTCCCAAATGGTACAAAATCATTAAAAAAGCTTAAGAGTACGAATTATTCTTCTATTAAAAAACAGTTGTTCTCCAACTAATTATTAGTTTGAGCTGCTTTGTTTCCAAGAACAAATGTTGATCCTTCCAGCCTCGTTCAGCACACCAAAATGAGATAAACACTTTTTTTTTCTCCTTGTACCAAACTCTTGCAGGTGAGAAACCGTACAAATGTCCCCACTGTGATTACGCGGGAACGCAGTCCGCGTCCTTAAAGTACCACCTGGAGCGGCATCACCGCGAACGCCAGAACGGGGCCGGGCCGCTGTCGGGACAGCCCCCTGCGCAAGACCCCCGGGAGGAAGTGCCCGGCAAGGCTGCCTTGTTCATCAGGCCCGACATCCTGAGGGGGGCCTTTAAGGGGCTCCCCGGAATTGACTTCAGAGGCGGCCCCGCCTCCCAGCAGTGGACATCGGGCGTGCTCTCGTCCGGAGATCCCTCGGGGCAGGCCACCGCCGGGTCTTCCGAGGCTCCCTCGGACACTCTGAAGGGCGCCGACCTTCTGTCCAAGAGCACCCACTTCTCAGAGATTGGCCGGGCCTATCAGAGCATCGTGAGCAACGGCGTGCATTTTCAAGGGTCCTTGCAGGCTTTCATGGACAGCTTCGTCCTCAGTTCCCTGAAGAAGGAGAAGGATGGGAAGGACAAAGGCCTGGCTGATGCTCCTTCCATGAAGGTCCACGGGGTGGACGGGAGCGAGGAGAAGGCGGGCACGAAAGGGGCCCCACGGAAGTCGGAGAAGGCGCAGTACGAGCCCCTGGACTTGTCCGTGCGGCCGGACGCCGCCTCGCTGCCCGGCTCGTCGGTGACCGTGCGGGACAGCATCGCCTGGCACGGCTGCCTCTTCTGTGCTTTCACCACTTCGTCCATGGAGCTGATGGCGCTTCACCTGCAGGCCAACCACCTAGGCAAAGCCAAGCGCAAAGACAGTGCCGTCGGGGGGACCGGCAACTGCAAAGACCAAGTCCGGGAGGCCAGCAAGATGGCCCTGCTGCCCTCAGCACAAGCGAATAAGGAGCTGGGTCTCCCCAGTGTCATCGGGCCGCTGGACCCCACGTCTGAGAAGCTCGCCCAAGGGCAGGTCAAGGAGACTCTGGGGGAGCAGAAGGGTGGCCCGTGGCCCGCCAACGTGGACCCTACCTTTTGCAACTTCTCTTCAGACTTCTACAAGCAGTTCGGTGCTTACCCAGGTGTGGTGGGTGCAGGCGTGTCCAGCTCCTGCACCAACAAGGAGCCCGACGGCAAGGCGCTCTCGGAAGACGACGCCCCCATCCTGATCCCCGAAACCACCACCAAGAACACTACTGATGACCTCTCCGACATCGCCTCCTCCGAGGACATGGACTCCTCGAAGGAGGAGAACAACGACGACGAGGATATTGAAACGGAGCCGGAGATGAGGAGCAAACCGCAGCCTACTCTCAGCAAGGACGCTGGCGCCTGTGACGGCGGGGACAGCCTGCTGCCCGCGGGCACCCCTCAGCCCCTGCACGGACTCGGCTCACCTGTACCCCCGGCGTCGGAGAAGCAGTGGCACAGCCAGGGCCTTCTTTCAGCCCAGGACCCCGCGGCGGGCCTCCCCAAGCCGGAGCGGGGGCCCCAGGGCCTGGAGAAGCCGGTGAACATGCTGTCGGTCCTCAGGGCCTACAGTTCTGATGGCTTAGCAGCCTTTAATGGATTGGCAAGTAGCGCAGCAAATTCTGGATGTATCAAGAGGCCAGACTTGTGTGGTAAGTTTTAGAATCCTCTTCCTTTAGTTCATTTCCCAAAACATCAGTGCTGAATTGTGCATTTGAAAAAACAAAAAACAACAACAACAACAAAAAGGGGTAGGCTTGCTTAGCCATTCTCAAATTTTGAACTCGACATAAAAAGAGCCACTGTGCTGTCTTTGCAATGTAGACAATCACGAAAGCCAGTTTCGTTCCCAAGTTTTAGAACTCGTACTTTTGTGCTCCAGTTCGCAATGTAATGATCTGAAGCGCCTGTCTGGAAGGCTTGGAAAAGAAGGGTGGTGTCTCAGTGTGAACTACTCCTGTTTTTAAACCCGAACCTGAAGGGGGAAAAGAAAAGAAAAAAAAAATCGTAAAAAGGCAAAAACAGATGCAAAAAGAGACATGGTAACTTGCAAACTTTTCAGTATTTTAAGCTGATGCATACTATGCCCTGAGAAAATTCCTCCCTGCTTTGCTAAGCCAAATCTGCTTTCTTAGACTTTCCTTTATCTCAATTAGAGGATACTAAAATCGTATCACACTAACCACCACGTAGAAATAAAGTGAGCCTCTCTCTGCGTAGGGAGATGGTTTCGGGGTGTTTGTGACTCATCCAAATGGCAGTTGCTGTGACTTGGCCTTCTATTACCGCCTTCTGTCTGTCTGTCCTTAACCTGTCTGTCCGTTGTTCTAACAAGCAATGTACACCGTGATGTCCTTGAGTAGCAGTGTTGTGCTTCTGTGCGTCTTGGACTTAAGCCTGCCTGATCTTGCTAGCGAATTGGCACATCCTTACCTCCTTAAAGAATAGGGTTAGCCATGTAACACCCGATCTTAAAAAGTAGTAATAAATCCGAAGCCTAGAATCGGATCAAATGAACGCTGGGGGTGGGCGGGGAAGATCAAAGCGCTCCCCGGGTGCCTAGGTCGTGTCATTTGAAAGCCACTCTCTGAATAGACGTTCGTATTTTATACTCTAGTCCTTCATCTCATCTCTAGAAACAAATGGCCACGCACCTTTCCATCTTTAATCTGTGGATGGAGTGCGGTTGGCTTTCCTTCACCTGTTGAAGGGAGGGAGGGAGGAAAATGGGAAGGAGCATTTATTTCATAACCCCTGAATCTTGAAGTGCCTTTTAGCACAGAGCAGGATTCAGGAAGCGAACTGGGCTCGCGATTTACATCGATCTATTTCTTCTTCCCTCTCCTTCCCTAATTCACTAAGAACTGGATCAAGCAGTCAGAAATATTTTTTGAATTGTCAAAAATCACTAAATGGATTTCTGACAGCTCAAAAAAAAATATTGACAGTTCCGTATGCTGAATGATTCACAGGTCCCTTTCACCAGAACCCCCCCATCTATTTTTAGCCACCTATAATTCACTACTTTGGAAGCTGTTAAAAACAAAATTTAAAGGAAGAAGAAAAGGGTTTTATGTCAGTCCAGTTTTCCCCCCTTTTTTCCTTGGGGAGCGACATTTAAGTCTTTTTCTTTCTTTTTCTTTTTTTCTGTTGTTTTAAGTTTGTGATTGGGGTGGCTTCTTTTTTGATTGTTGTTTGGGGATTTTTTAAAAAGTCTATTTTCAGGCCCTTCAGCTACCTACGTAGGCCCTGTAGATTCTGCCAGGAATCCATGCATCAGAAAAGATCAAAACCTGGCATGTTCATAAGCTCATTATTATTGAAATGAGCTCATATTACCCCTATTAATTTTCCCATCTTCCTATCATTCTGAAGGAAGGCTGCCTGCCTGGGGAGGAAGCTTGCCCGATGGTGCACTTTTGCCACAGGGAGGATGGAGGGGAGGGTGGCATGGGGCTGTATCTTGTGAGCCCCCTCCAGGCCACCCACATGTGCTCCTGAACTTCGTCTTACCCCTCCCATAACACAGTTTACCATCGCTTCCTCCCCAAAGTGCACGCACAAATCATTGCTTGGTCAGCATTGCAACCTTTGGATAACAGCTATTCCCCGGCCAGGGGTACGGGTGCCCTGGTACCGCGAGCTCATGGTAAGGTGTGAGCGCTGTCTCTGGCCACACAGTGTCTATTTTTAGAGCGCACAAGTTCTGCATTTCATTTGGCCTCGTTTCTTCTGCATCTTCTTGCTTTAGTTTGGAAGCGGGAAAGGAAGGTCTGTGTTTGCGTGGGGGGAGGTGGTGACGCTGCCCTCCTGCCTCGGTGGCGAACCCCCGCCCGTTCTCTCCCTCTTCCCCATCATCATCAAAATCCTCTTCAGTTTTCTGCTACAGTGTTCCTCTTTTCAGACATAGTCTTCCCTTCGGAGAGTTGTTATCTGGGAGGAAATCTCAAATCCACGGAGCCTTTTTTCTCTGTCTAGTTTACTTTTTCTAGCTTTGCCAGAAGCACAAGTGACAGCCGACACTTGCAAGCCCACGTTGGCTTCATGGCGGCGGGCGGAAAGGAACTTGGCACAAGGACTAAACTATTCCTAATGTTTCTCTACTTTCTCTGCCCCACTCCAGTTAGCTGGGGGTTTCCAAGAAGCTGAGTTTTACAAAGCCAAATAATTATTCTTATATGTCTCCTCTCAGAAGAGGTGGGGTCTGATTTTGTCCGGTTGATAAGACCAAATCCCATTCCACTTCCCCAGCAGAAGGCTTTTGTCCATTTGACTCCTCATGGGTGGGACCGTGAAGAAGAATCAGTAACAACGTGTGTGTACCGGTCATGTGGGCCACTGCAGCCGGAGCTGAGGAGGTTACCTCTCCTTCATGACGTGTGCTTGTGACAGGCCATCAGCTCTTCTTGCAGGTGATCCCCTAGCTCGGCACGCCTGCTTCCTAGCTTCTACACGTCTGGCCTCACGTCCTTGCTGCCTGGACCTAGGTCCTCACGTAGCTAGTGCACTTGTGACTTTGCAGGGTAGTGGTATGGAGGGGAAAGGTCAAGCCAGCCAGCTGGGTAGCAGAGGCCTAGAGCTTGTGCTCGGATGTCCTCCATGGACAACAGCACACTAGCCAATGAGGGCCATGTTCCAGGGACCCCAAAGATGTGGTCCCCCTTGGTTAGGTGGAAGAGCATGGATAATAGCACTGGAGAGGGTCTGAACCCGCAGCGGGCCTGACCTCCCTGCAGGAAACACCGTCTAGGCAAAGCTTCCATTCTTGAAGTGACTCCGATTGTAGGCACGACCCCCACATCTTTCCTCTGTTGGGGAACGGCACACCAGGGCACCCCAGGCTAATGCTCACTGTGCCCTCTCTTTTGTGGAAATGGGTTTGACCTTGACTTAGCAAGGGGCTAGGATTCACATGAGTGTTTAACTCGGGGTCCAAAGCAGAGCAAAGTAGATAAGGCAGATGCGACCCTTGTCCAGTAGGAGAAAATGCGGCCAGCTGTGGGGTCAGCCAGGGGCTTGGAGTGCGAGTGTGGAGCGCACGGGCTTGGGGGGCCGCACCCGTGGGCTAGCACATCGCCCGGTCACAGAGTTTGCACACTGCTGCACCCAGAGTCTGAGGACTTTCAGAGCAATCAGCTTCCCCACACCCCGCATTTTGAAGCTGAGGCAGAAGTCTGAGGGGCATCGGGTGCCGTTTTACAAGCTGAGTGTGCTGTGTGCCCTTTGGTGAGCTTGGAGTGGGGGTGATGGGGCAGAACTAAAGTCAGTCAAGGGATGGGCGGTGAGAAGATCATCACCTGCATCACCCCTGGAAGGTCTTCTCCGGAGCCACCATCCCCCGGGAAGCTCAGCCGACAAGGAGAATCCAGGAGCGTGTCTGTCGCGGGCGGGGAGGCCCAGCCGGAGACCCCAGGTCTGGCGGAAGCGAATGGAAAGGCAGGGACCTCCCTCGCCACAGCCTCCACTCCTCAACTTACTACCTCCATTATCCCTGGGGTACAGGCTTTGGGGCTTCCACAGACATGAGAGAATTGGGACACCCCTCCTAGAAGAACACGGGGTGTATTACACCTCTTCATCTCCTGCAGTCTAAATGGTGGGATAAAAGAAACCAGGATAACTGGAATCTTTTCAGTGTCTTGTGTCCTCCAAAAACCTCACTCATTTCAAGGCATAGACGGTCTGAAAATAGCTACCCTGTTACCAGCTCTGCAGTCTAAAGCTATTTCCTCACCGGGCCGAGCACACATCCCGCGTGTGCAGGCTGAGCACACATCCCCACTGCAGAGCTGAGCTCTGTCTTGCATCCACGGCAGCCACAAGCAACATGCCAGCGGCGTGGCTGTGTGCCCACAGACCCTCATTCACTGAGAGAGGTGGTGGCTGGCACCGGCCTGCTGGTCACTGTTGCCCACCCCCTGGTCTACTGTAAAGTGGGGTGCACTGCTGTGGTCAGGCCTGGGGAAGACTTGCAGGCACCTCTTTCCCTTTCTTGCTGCTGCCAGTGAGGTGCTGTGGTGGGGGGCCCACCCACGTCAGCAGCTGCATGCCCCATCAGTCGCCACGGGGTGCCAGAGAAGACTGGGGGAGTCTCGAGAGGGAGCCCAGCAGTTGGGGAGCATGTTTCAGAAGGCTGGTCTCTGCCTTCTGGACGTGTGGAGCCCTAACCCGCACCCCCACCCAGGCCTCAGGGCCACTGCGAGTGGTAGTTGCAGTGCCCATGGAGGGTCACAGGTGCGGGCTCAACTGCTCCAGGGCAGCCTCCGCGTCCTCACTGGTGGCAGAGGCTGGGGGAGGAAGCGAGAGGTACCGTGTGGTGTCCACACAAGATGTGGCGAGGAAATAGGGGTTGGGTGGGAATGATAGTTGGGTGGAGGGGGTGTCCACAGGAGCTCCTGGAGCAGCCAGCAAGCACAACCTTTCCTTTCTGCCAGGGTTCTAGAGACACATTCTATTCCCTCGTGTCTGCCAAGCCAGGCCTTTAACAGCTGCTGCCTGGCACGTGCCAAAGTTAGCTCCAAAGGCGATTCTGGTGGCTTTGTGATGACATCCCAACACGCGGGCCACACCGTGTTAGTTCCTCCTGATTCTGTTCTTGACAGCAGGCGAGTAGGAAATCTGGCCTTCCTCCTCTTGTTGGCCGGGTCTGGCA